AGGGCGGTCTTCATGTGATGTTAATCACTCATATACGTTCTCTGTCAGGGTTACAAAATACGAAATTTTGATTCTGTATTCCCCATGTGAGTTGGTAAACAATAGTTGTACAGAGTGAAGTCGACTCAGATTCGATGTGGGTGATGCGTGTCTGGTCTCGAGGCAAAGTCAGTTAAATGTAACAATAATTATTACATATTTGGTACAGGCCTACCTATAAAGTAGCTGGATCAGATCCAGTCGTTCGTACAGCAGAAAAGACGTCCCCACCGCTGGTCTGTGTTGACAATTTTTCACAACCAATAAATAAATATCTTAACGGCGGTGGTGGTCTGTTAGATCTGTTTGCCTCATCTTAAACTCTCAGGGGGACTCCACTGGAAAGAAATCTTAAGAGGGAACCACGCAAATTGAAAAGAAACGAATGAATTTCGAGGCTAGAGTATTTACAATTTAAACTTCCAATAAGTATTGTGATTGATTGCGGATATAATTGTAGTGGAGAATTTTTTAATGAATCTGGAGATAGGGATTAGCTCTATCTAGTGGGCCCAACTGTGTAGGAACCTGAAGACGGAGATAGAGTCCCATCTCCGAAACGTCGTTTTACGTTTTATAGTTACTAGACGATGGATAATATCCAAGGAAATTTTTATTCAATTGAATCTTCAGAAGGCTATGGATTTCATAAACACTACTTATACGCTGCTGATAAAGTTGAACAAGAATAAGAAAATAATTTATTTACTTCATAGCCATCATATATTTTTTAACTAAAGTAAAAATTAAAATGTTAACTTTGAGTTGTCATATACCAGCTGAGGCTGTTAAAAGTTCGGTTATGATCTCTGTTATTAAGTAGGATATTTCGGGACACGCACATAAGTTTAAAATATGTAGGCTACATATGCTGACGAATGTCTGAAAGAACAGAATAAGGAATAATTTAGAACCAGAGGATATTTATAAGGAAAGATCAGTGCGTAATTAAATTACAACGACAGAGTTTGGTAACAAATTATGCAACTCGTAAGTTAGCTATTCTGACGTTACGTTTTGATGCTGTCATTTGTTTTCTGATTTCACGACTCGCCCCTAGATGTAGTTACTAGTACGTACACGAAACCAGTTTCACTTCCGATAAGGAGTAGGGCAGTTACATTTGTACAGTAAGCCTGGCCATATTGTTTTGAGTGTAAAGACTGCAGGTTACAAGCTTAGTAAAGTGTTGCTAATATTATTAATACAGAGTCGGACGTTTACTGTGTGATGACATGTGTGTCGTGTGGTGTAATAAGTGAAGTGTCACAGGTTTCATATAATACAGTATCGGAACTCAATTTCTTTTGTTCAATACTGCTAGCTACAGTAATGTTTCCAGCGAGCTCTACCAGATTCTCAGAAACAGCCGATGTCCGTAGAACTAGTTCAGAAGTGTGTGAAGGAAGTTTAAAGACGCAGAGGTAAGATTTTCTTGTTTAACGCTTTAAGATATGAGTTCTTTAAATATCTAAAACTTCAGTTCGTACCTCAAAGAAAACACAACACTTTATCATTATAAAGGTTAAATGGTACGATAAATATTCGAAACCCGTAATATATTCTGTGGACAAAATTAAAAGATATTATGATAAAAACGAATGGTATATATCGTTACCACTTTGCTTTAAAGTGTTACGAGACCAGTTACCGTCCTAGGTAATCCTCAGGTGGTCTCTCAAATTGGCTGATGATTATACTGAGAGATCACGGGTTTGATAATAAATATACTTTATAAAGATGCCAAAATGAAAATCACTCGAAGTTGTTGCTAGCCACGACATTCAAGTTCAGCCTCATTTCGGGTACACGCAAAGATGACATTTGACGTTGTTTACTCCAGAGTATTCGGCCAGTACACATGCCTATAATTCTATCATGATTTCTGTAAAGTACAAGTGAACGCAGGCAAGGAATCAGACGCTAAGTGGGAAGTCTATTTCACAATGAACCGACAGTTAGACCTAATGACAAAGAACAAAGAATTTTCGAAATATTAAACACCACTGATTACAAATGATTATCAAAATTTTCTCTAATGGTAATATATTAATAGAATACAGGAGTTCTGTGGAAATATGAAACACATCTTGGTAAAATTCTGCGGTGTAAAAGCCAAACTTGTGTTTTTTTGGGGCCGAATTTTGGGGGAGACGAACGCAGACGGCAGTAATGTGTTTCGCTAGTGTGGTCACAGGATATATCATGACGTTATTTAGTGTTCTGTCTGATGACAGGTCCATATGAACAGGATCCTTCCCTCCTTTTCTCGGACTGGGACCTGTTCATATACGTTCTTGGCAGATGATCCAGAAGTGGTTTGCCATTGCCTTCTTCTGTGTGTGAATGGAGTAATTGTTTGGATGCCACGGAGAAACCGGGGAAGCCCCCGGAGGAAAACTCCGTGTTGCCTAGACCACGGCCTTGCCCAACACAAGTTATAAATTCGGGCACCGCCGGGAATCGAACCCGAGAAGATGTCGAGTGTCCAGCAGAATATTATAAGCGGACAATTTTTATGATCGTAAGCAAAACAGAAGAATAGCTTAACCCGTGATGTTGAAAATGGAGTTGATACTTATAGATTCGCAGAGACCAACTGTCAGCGTCAATTTTAACTGGGCTAATTACTGCTTGGTTTAAGCAACGGGGCGGGAAATGGGGCTGTGTTCGTTCCACTGAGCACAGAAAGTTACACTGACCTCTCTCTAGTCCTCTGAAAGGGATTGTGTATTATTTTATCGATTTCCTATCACATGCAATTTACTAAGAACTGAAATATGTTTAAATGTTTATTCACGTATTTTGTAATACCGGCATTGAATAGTCGACTAATAGAACAATTTTACTGACACAGATTAAGAGATCCTTTAAACTGTTTCCACCCTTAAATTCTGAAGGACAACTGGAGAGTATGAAAACACCAGTGGAGAGAGTAGTGATAAACAATAATATTACGTTAGCTGACATATTTTACAAGGTTCCCAGGCAAAGCAAGCTCGTCTTTCTGTTAAGAGTGGCTTGTAGGTAATATTATTTCTTACCGATTGATTAATTACAAGTCTTAGAGAAAATAAAAAAAATAATTTATTGTAATGGTATGTAATTATTATGTTTACACCGGGTGGACTGTTTAGATGCGTGCAGTTTCAACTAAGCATTTCATCTATGAAAACCACGATGAAACTCCGTCAATTTGCTTGGTAATTAATAATCCGGGATTATTTGGGTCACAAGTCGAGTTACTGAAGTTTAAATCAAGTG